TAATCATACTTCTACCCAGTTACGGTTGTGTTCTTTCAATATCTTTACTCTAGCTCCTTCCAGTGGTAAATCACAAATGTGCTGCACACAGCAGATCTGGGATTGTTTTGATGTGGCAGGAATGTGATGGTGAATATAGATCATCCCCAAACTTTACCTAGTTTTTCTGGCACCTGATTTAAAATCCAAGGAGAGCCTCTAGTGGAGCCTGAATCTGGGGTTCAAATTTATTCAGAAACCTCAAGGTACTTGGTTCATGTGGGTATAGCATTTCTCAAGACTGTCGAAAGTAGAACAGTTCCTGAGATGCATGGATAAAAATTTCCAAACCTTGGCAAAAATCCAGCAACACAATTCCATAAAACACATGATACTCACATTTCCACAAAGTGAAACTTCCTCTGGGCTCTTGAGAAAATAATGCTGTCTAATAATGGCAGCAGGTGTTTTTACTAATGATGTTTTAACGGCATTTTTGATGGTTTTAATTAAACCCCAAATATTTTTGTTGGAAAAATAAAGGACAAATGGTTTCTAAGGCAAAATAAATAGTGTTTTTAAGGATGCATTAAAAGAGAAAAAAATGCAAACTGCATGTTGTCTCATTAAAGAAAGAAAATAATGCTGTAGTAAAGTCCAACGAGAAATATGATAATTGAGAAGAAGTTGAATTATTATGATTAAAGTTGGAAAAAGTTACTTTTGGAAAAAACGTTGAATAGATTTATTAAAGAAAGAGTGTCATACCCTGCACAATACCAATAAGAAACAAGTAATATTTGCCATATTAAAATAGTTTGCATTATATGTAAGTACATGAGGAATGTTGATGTCTGTTATTAATTGTGAAGAGGATTGAAATCTCAGGCAAACCTGATTCCACCCCTAAAAGATGACACTGAACTCAAAGCAGCTGTGGCTCAGCAGGGAGCTTTATGCTGTCATCTTTTACTTGGCAAGTTACATTAACTTAGCTCAGGACTTGAGATGTGATGGCCTAGAATCAGAGGCACAAGCATGTAATTTTATTATTATTTTTTAACATTTTACCTGCTGCATCAAAAAATCTCACCCAAAAAGCCTGTTTGTAGGGACATGCAATGGGATATCACAAATGTCTCCAATCTAACACAGGGATAGAAACAAGCACCTAGCGACAAAAGAATGATCCTAGCTTAATAGCTCCAGTATCTGCAAAAAATGTGTACTCTACCAGTTCTTTCAGTAAGCACTGAAGAACCAATGGCAGAAGGTATGGGCATGCCTCCTTGATAAAGGACTCTCCTGCAGAATCAAGCTTGGACTGGGATATATTTTTTAATATTTTTTACTTGTAGATGGACACAATATGTGTTTATTTATTTTTATGTGGTTCTGAGGATCAAACCCAAGGCCTCACACCTGCAAGGAAAGCACTCTGCCACTGAGGTACAGCCCCAGCCAATATCTTTAAGAGGTTGGACAGTTTGCTAACCTATGATCTCTGCTTTTCTTTGTGATATTTCAGGACTAAAAGCTATTGTCACAAAAGAGATCCTTATTGGACACCAAAATGGGCAACATGCATATAATTTAATCAAAACCACAAGCTAGATCAAGGTAGAACACTTGGTTTTCTCAACTTGACATTGCGATGTTCTAATTCCTGTGTACTTTGACTGTCTCTGTCTCCTGTTACCCAGTCCTCCAATCCTACATCAATATCTATTCTAGCTCCAGCAATATTCTGAGGAAAAAAAAATCTGGAAGTTTTCTTCTGATGTACATACTATGATAATACACCTGTAATTTATTTTCCCACAAGTTGGATCTGATGATAAGCCCATGTATCCCTAAAGATCAGATTTAGATGAGCTTTCTGACCTTCTCCATGTTTCTCAACAAGGATTTAATAATTAAAGCCAGACAAGAAAATTCGAGGGAAGAAAGGAAGTAGAGAGAACTCTTATCACCTTTGTATTCATAATCTTTTCAACTTACAGTTTGTGTTATTAAAGATAAAGCTAGCTATTGAGTTAAACAACCCCCAGTATGTGTCATGGATCATAGATAATAAAAGTTTATTTATGGAGCAATTGTGTTTTTGATTAAGGACAGAGTCTGCAAGAATGCTTCTGGGAACTCATATCTAGGACCCTCATATCTCCACCACTGTCCCCATGTGACTTCCAAGGGCACTGTCCTCATCTACATTAAACTAAAAAGTGGGATACAGGGATGGAGAAGGCACACCCTCTTTTGCATAACATTTGCTCTACATATATCGCTTCATGCATATCATGCAACCTTACCTAAATGGCAGCATGCTGGGAACCATCACCTCTGGTTGGCCACTTGCTTCCCTACAGAACTACGAGAAAAGGATTCTAAATTTGGAGAGCCCATTGCAATAACGGCATGAAATTGATATTTTAATTAGTTAAAACAACAACATGTGGCAGTTTCTTCCTCAACAACCTAAACAGAATTAACCTATGACCCCAAAATTCCACTAGAAGGTACATGCCCCAAAGAATTCAAAACAGATGTTCAAGCAAAGGTTTGTATACAAATGTTCATAACACCATGATTTACAGTAACCAAAAAGTAGAAACAACCCAAATAGCCACTCAAGGATAAATAAAAAGTGGTATATCCCTACAATGAAATATTATTCAACCTCAAGAAGAAATAGAATGCTGATACCATGCAATGACTTGGATGAACTTTGAAAACAGCGTGCTAAGTCTGAGAAGGTAGACACAAAAGGCCACAAATGATCTGATTCTGTTATATTAAATATGCAGAATAGGAAAATTCAAATAGGTGGAGAGAAGATTTATGATTTCCAGGAGGTAGTGGACAGAGGGACAGAGAATGACTGCTTAATGGTACAGATTTTCCACTTGGGATAATGAAAAATTCTGGAACTAGACAGCAGTGATGGTTGTGCAACATTTGAATACACTTAATGCCACTGAATTGTTAAAATTACTGATTATTTTTTACAGACTATACACAATTTATTGGCCTTTGAAGATCAATGTGCTACTTAACCACTTTGTTAAGTAACAAAAAAAAATGCATCAGCAAGAGTTCGTACAATCCCAAATGTCTGGTTCACTTTTGCTAATCTTTGTATCACTTTATATTATTTTATTTCTTCTAAATTGTTATATATAATAGCAGAGTGTAATTCAATTCATATTACACAATGGAGCACAATTTTTCATGTCTCTGGTTGTACACAAAGAAGAGTCACACCATTCGTGTTTTCATACATGTACTTAGGGTAATGATGTCGGTTTCATGTCACTGTCTTTATTAGTTCCATCCCCCCCTCCCTTCCTCTCCTTCCCTTTTGCTCTATCTAAAGTCTGTCTATTCCTCCCATGCTTCCCCCAACATCCACATCATGAATCAGCCTCCTTATATCAGAGAAAACATTCGGCATTTGGTTTTGGGGGATTGGCTTACTTCACTTAGCATTATATTCTCCAACTCCATCCATTTACCTGCAAATGCCATGATTTTATTCTCTTTTAATGCTGAGTAATATTCCATTGTTATACATACCACATTTTCTTTATAAATTCATCTACTGAAGGATATCTAGTTTGGTTCCATAATTTAGCCATTGTGAATTATGCTGCTGTAAACATTGATGTGGCTGTGTCCCTGTAGTATGCTGTTTTTAAGTCCTTTGGGTATAAACCAAGGAGTGGGATAGCTGGTGGCTCCATTTCAAGTTTTCCAAGGAATCTCCATACTGCTTTCCAGATTGGCTACACCAATTTGCAGTCCTACCAGCACTGTATGAGTGTGCCTTTTGCCCTACATCCTTACCAACACTTATTGTTGTTTATATTCTTAATAGCTGCCATTCTGACTGGAGTGAGATGAAATTTTAGAGTGGTTTTGACTTGCATTTCTCTAATTGCTAGAGATGATGAACATTTTTTCATATATTTGTTGACTGATTGTATATCATTTTCTGAGATGTGTTTGTTCAGTTCCTTGGCCCATTTATTGATTGGGTTATTTGTTTTTTTTTGTGATAAGATGCTTTATATATCCTAGAAATTAGTGCTCTATCATATATGTGTGTGGCTTTCTATTCACTTTACATAAGTTTATTTTGCAGAGAAGAAGCTTTGTAGTTTGAATCCATCGCATTTATTGATTCTTGATTTTATTTCTTGCACTATAGGAATCTTATTAAGGAAGTTGGGGCCTAATCTGACACCATGGAAATTAGGGCCTAATTTTTCTTCTATTAGGCTCAGGGTCTCTGGTTTAATTCCTAGGCCCTTGATCCACCTTGAGTTGAGTTTTAGGCATGGTGAAGGATAGGGGTTTCATTTCATTTTGTCGCATATGGATTTCCAGTTTTCCCAGCACCACTTGTTGAAGAAGCTATCTTTTCTCTATTATATGTTTGTGGAACCTTTGGAAATGACTGATTTTTTATGAAGCTTATTTTACCACAATTTAAAAAGAAAAACAACATGACTTTCTGGGGGCATTTACTGAATCAAACTTTCAGCCTATGATACTTTATTAAGTTAATGATGTAAATATTAGTATAACATCTTAAACTTAAGGAAAAAAAAGAATACTTAGTACTATAATTTCTCTTATTAATTTTTCTTTTGGAATTTCATAATATTCTCTTCCTTGAATCCAGCAAATTCTTTTTAAACAACTTTCTGTTTCCAGACACAGGTCTGTGTGTTCATTCTTACCAAGCTCTGGAAGGGTCTGAAGGTGTATTTATAGAATACACCTTAGACCCTAGTTATAAGTCAAGAGATATATCAGTAGAACATCATCAAAACCCATGTGGTGATAATACCATCTTATCATGTACCACAAAAGTTGTGAACTCTTTGTCATTAAAGATACTTGACAACTGAAGGACCATTCGTCTGTGGATGTCACAGTGATGCTGTCTGACAGCAGGCGTATTCTTGTCATGTCACACTCAGTTGGACAAAAGCCTTACCAGTCTGAACCTTAGTAGACATCTGACATCTCTACTCTGATGTGAAGATGCTGCTGATCAGGGCTTTGAAGAAAACGGAGCATCATCATCTCATAATTCTCCATGCAAATGAATGTGTGTGGCATCCTGAATGATACATAACAGAATAATCCAAAATCCATTTTATATTTGGATTTGCATTTAGATTTTTTTCTTTGTTGTCATTTCGCATTTGCTTTCCTAATCATATTTTAGCTAAATGTAATGGTAAGTGTGGCTTATTCTCTCAAATGACAGATGACAGCAGGAGGCAGTCTTAAATTATCTGAATGGCATATTGAGCCAGTTAGATTTAAATCTAACTGAAAAAAAAAGTCATAAAATCCTAGAAATGGAATGGCCCTGAGGGATAATTTAACTTGACCTCTTCATTTGTATATAACAGCCAACTAGAACTCAGAGGTGTACTTTCATTAGTCATTTCTAGAAAGATCATATATTCTGGTTGGGACCTGTTGTCTCAGTGTAATTAATACTGATCCCTCTCTTAATTTGCAAAGATATTCTGGTTTAAAAGATAAATTAGATATTCATCTAGCCTATATCTGTTTTGATGCTGTAAATCCCTTAAATAGTATTATACAGACTACCTGCCTATAAAAATGCACTGGTGTACATACATATAACATTTGCATCTAGTTTACCAGAAACCCCAAGCAGAAACCTGTTGATGTATATGTCAGGTTCAATAAAGTTGTATTGATCAATTCTTGTGCCCTACACACACAGTTAGGAGTGTAAAGCTGCCTGTTAAACCCCCACACCCTTATAAGATAGACCTTATTACATCCACCAAGACAGGAAAGTAGGCTAAGAAGTGCTGTGATGATGTCCGGACTCAGGCCTCTTAATCCATTGCTCCTTTGCTCATGAAAAGTGCTAGGAATAGAGTTCCAAACATAGGCTCTTAGTTTATATCCTGAATGATGCTCACTAGCTCTGTGACCCTAGGCAAGTTGCTTACCTCATTTTGTTTCATTTTCCAATTTATGAAGTGTAGATGGTAGTAGAAGAGCCCACTTCATCCTGATTTATAAAGATTAAATAAAATAATATATCAGCAGTGCTTGGAAGACTACCTGGAATATAATAATCTCACAGTGAATGCTGTACATTATTACTAAGCAACACTGATTCTGTGCAATTGTCCAAGATATGAATAAATGCCTACTTAAGTAAACTATTGCGCAATCCCAAAACCAAAAGTTCAAAATAGGAATCTGCCTTCACAGTACACATGCATCCTCAAAATGTATAGTCCTTCAAAAATGGTGATATGCCAAAGAGGTACTAGAAAGTTGTGTGAAAATGTAAAATAATGAATATGTGTCTAGTTAGCTTCATAAAACTTGATGGAAGAGTTTTAGAGAAACGTGAAACAAAATACCTTGTAACATACACACCATTATCATGCCACATATCCTGTGAAAGGCGTCGGTAACTCCAGTGAATTATCAATAGTCATATTTCAATAACCCAAGTCCCTCCCTTCCAAATTATTCCCCATTTTGTGGAACATACTATAGCTATGCCAGATTCATTAATTTCATAGTACAACCCTGGAGGTGGGTGTCAGGGACTTGAAGCATTCATTGGAGGAGCTGATTAGTCCATAAATAATGAACTTACACATTTTTTGGCTCAAGTCTCCATTTTAATATAGGACCAACTTTCTTATCACCACCAGCTGAAAAGAAGCAGAATAAAAGTGATAGATAATGTCCTAGTTAAATTATGTCCTCACATATTCATACAGATTCTTCATTTTCTTCAAATAACAGAATGTGACTTTGAAATTTTTTTTCTTATTTGGGAATCTTACTTGCAATAACAGAAGCTAAAATTTAAATTGCTTGAGCTAAAAAGTCCTTTTATTGATGGGCGACAATGGCTTAGAAGAAAGTAGGACGTCTCTTTATGTGTTATGTCTACCTCTGTCTGGCACTTGCTTCACTCTCTTACAAAATTATTTTCTCCTCAAACTAGAACAAAACCAAAAACACCTCCCTGATTTCCATTTCATGTTGTGCTATTCCTTCTTAAACATGAATGTCTAGTAAATAAAATATCTACTGATATTTTAGCATGCACTGTCAACAAGATCATAAGATCAGGGAAATAGTATCCAGAATTGCAGGATTCAAGAAATTTTTTAAAATTAGTTTTCACAACAAATTCTTTTGAAATCATGCTTTATTTCATGCACAATTATCCATAATGAAAGTCAACTAGCTATCAAAGAATGAATTACCAACTTTCTTTTCTTTGAAATCTTTTTTGCCCCTCATGGAAAATGGACTTTCTTCAGTTGAACTTCATGTTTTATTTTATAGGAAATCATTGTCCCGGTAAAGAATATGATCATATGAATTTATAAACAGTTGTCAAAAGTGAGAAATCCAAGTGATTCAACTAAAGCCTCAGGTCAAATGACCTGAGCTCTTAACAACATTTTTGTAAAGGAGGTTAAATGTCTTCTGATAAAAGGCTAAAAGTTAGGTATGGAGGCAAAACATTTGTGAGAGTCTTAGAATTCTGCAAATTTATTTTTTTTTCTTTTGTTCCTCAATTCTGAAAGAAATCAAAGAAAGATGAAAAATGAAGCTTAAAATAATAAGATGCACCTTGAGGGGTGGTATTCCAGTAAATGGTAGGGTGTCTTAGAATCCACATTAAACAGATCACTACACAACACCAATTCTGCATCCTTGAAACAAGCAGGGCTCTCACCATCAAAGAATTTCCATTGCCTCATGAGGAGGCAGAATTGAATAAGCTGACAACTCCCACAACCACTAACAGAAGTTTATCTCAGGACAGAAAAAAGGAACAGAGTGTTCGAAAAGGATGTGAGGGAGTGATCATTTTGGTCTCTGGATGTTGAACATGTCTTTAGAGGAAAAGGTCACGATGGGCAAGCCAGTTGCTTGGAATAGAAAGTTTCTAGGAAAACAAGACAGAAAGATTCAATCACGTAGGAAGAATGCTAAGAAGATTTGAAAGGCCTTGACCTGCTTGGGAAATGTCTATTCAGTGTGAGCTAGCAGAGTTCAATGTATAAACTGGAGAACAGCAGGAGATAAATCTAGAAAGAAAATCGTTCTTCACTCATTCTTCATTACTTAAAATTTAACATACATTTACACAGCACCTCCTTTTCCAGGCTTTGAGTTAGGCCTTGAAGACACAACCACAAAGAAGGCTGAGCTCATGCTGTGTCGCAAGACACACAAATAGCCACTGTCCTAGTGTCTGTACCTATAGTAGAGGAAGATATCAAAATCTCAAGGGTACAGAGAAGGGACAAACTCAATCTCAGGTCATGCTGCACTTCAAGGGAATATTGAGCTGTAGAGGAAAAGTCAACTACTGAGATGTAAATAATCCCTTCTAGCTATAAAAATCACCTGTGCTGTATTCATGGTAATAAAGTGAAACTTATAAAGGCCAAAGAGATGATGCTCCATGTAACAAACTGGAGCAAGAACATACAATCATGAAGTCTATTTCATATTAATATACTTCTTATTGCCACACAATGGTAGAAAACACCAGTGATGTTAAGAATGTCAATCCATTCATACCCCCATAGAATGCATACCAGCACTATGCATCCAGTTCATGTGGGGTCCTCCTCATGTCCACTGCTGACATGCGAAGAGCCTCTAAAATGTTATGTCTTTTTCCTGCTTAATATACTCATGAGCACATGCACACCAACAGTGAAATAAAGGAGAGGTTAGGGAAAATCATTTCAGAGCTTTTAATACAGAGACATTATCAGAGACTACAGGGGTTTAAAAAAATATTTCTTTAGAAAATCAAGGATGGGTCATTGGTGATATTAAAATGTTTCCAGTTTTGTGAAGCTTTTTGGAATGAAGTAGAAAATTGATTACTGGTCTAGAAGATTCAAGTTCAATTACTAACCCAATGCTTGATTCATTACTTTTTAAACAAATAAATAACAAGAATTGCTTGCACTATCTCTTTTCTCAATTATGAAAAAGCAGTTAATTTCCATTTATCTTGACAGGAGACTATCAGGATGGAGGAAACAACCTCAAAGTGCTATTAGGGGAAGCTCACAGAATTGAGATTTGCTGAGCCTACCAACAAGAGGCTATTCCAATTTCATTCACGGGGTTTATCACATACCTGTAAGTGTTCCATCCAGAATTTTGAGAGTTACATGTTAAATATACATAGCACTTGTTAGTTCGTGGACTTTCATGAAGCAGCTCGTAAATTATATATCCTTAGACTCAAAAGGACCGGTTGAAGGAGATACTACAGTGCTTAACATTAAATAGGATCATAGAGTGAACATTCTTGGTACATGATCTAGGAACCCAGAGTATTGAAGCACTACAAGTCTTCACCTTCCTCCCAACAGCAGGTATCTCCAGGTCACAGAAAAGAAAATGCAGTTCATGTGGGCTTATACTTGCAGTGTAGGCTGATGAGGCATTCTTGGAGCACTTGTTCTTACAAACCTTATTGAAGAAACCAAATAAGCATGGTGAGAGACGGGCAGATGTGTCTCTCAGTGTGTGTGTTTCTCTTGCTGCTTTCTAACCCCTAGCACCTGGGTCATCAGGACTGTCTTTTCATGACCTGTAGGGATCACTCAGCGAACTAGGGGATGCTTGTCTTAACTGTGGGCACACAAACACAGGGAGTGGGCTGGATTTGACATATGGGCCATAGTTTGCCAACTCTTGTGCTAGAGAATCACTCAAGTGTCTTATTTTTTATCATAGGTAGGACACACACCATTAAAATACACTCACTTACCCACTTACCCACCCATCTGTGTGTGTTTCAAATCTTGGCTATAAGTAATTCTACACTTTGCATTAATTAAGAAAATATAATTTGCATAGTGTAGCTTCCTGAATAGGAAGCTTCTTTTAGTTAGATTCCTATTAGCTTTGTTTCTCTTCCTATTAGCTTCTTTTAGCTTTTTTTGCAACTTGCTTCTTTCCATCTTTCAATATTAAGTTCTTGGCATTTATCCTTAAGGATAAAATGCAATCTAGTTCATTTCATTAAGACTGTTGTTGAGTATCTTCCCTTGTTTAAAAATACCTGGTTTATCTACCCTGTTTGCTTTGGATGGACATTTGGGTTGCTACAGAAAAACATTCTTCCCCAGATCTCCTTATACATATGTGTAAGACTTTATCCCAGTTGGAGGATGTAATGGAAGATTGAGTTCCCTTTCATTTCTTTCAAACACTATTGAAACTGTGACACTAGTGCCTTAAACAATTAATTTTAAGAATTGCCAGTTCAAGTAAAGCAAAAGTAACCTAGTTTTTCTTATTACTTCTTTCACTTTCACAATAAAAGCCTTAAGGAAACCATACATTTATTATTAATCAAGTAGTTAAATACCCCAAAGATGGCAAGCTGATTCCTTCAGGAAGAGTCTATCTAACCTGTGTAGTTCTCCACAGCCCCAAGCCTTAAGGAGTTCTAAAAATTTGGGGCAGAGGGAATATTTCACATTGAGAGGGTGGAGTCAGGGCCCCGGAGCAAAGCTTTTAGAACTTTATGTACCACATCTTGCATGGTTTATTTCCTATGTCTAAAGAAATCAAGACTTGCTGGACTAGATTTCCCCTCTCTTAGTCTATTTAGGCTTATTTTTTTTTTCAACAACTCTTTTGTTCAGTTCCCTCTAACCAGAGGTTAGCACAGTGCTTGACAAAATGTAAAATAAGCAATTTTTTTTGGTCCTTTCATCTTGGAAGTTAAGTTTTGGTGGTGAGGACAGGGATGGTGGGTAAGGAACAAGGGAAGAAATAATCTAAAAAGAATCAGGATAACTTTTGATCTAAAGGTAAAAGAAGGCATAGCACTGCATCGCTAGCTATGGAGGGTGGGCTTCCTTTGGACACAATAGTTTCTGGAGGCTTCTTCAGGAGTTGGCAGTTAATGGGGCCCTGAGGATTGAGAAGGAGTCAGGCAGGAAAATAAGACATGGACCTTGTTACAAAACAAGGAATAGCAAAAGAAATTCCCTACGCTCAAGAAACAGTCAGAAAGCCTGTGACCTGGGCAGAGTGAGCAAGAAAGAGACAGCATAGAGGAGATAAATAGACAGAATCTATAAAACATGGAAGGTAACTCAAAAAACAATTCTTGAGAAGTTGGAATATCATTCTAAGAGCGGTAGAAAATCACGGAAGAGAATTTAAGAACCTTCAAAAGATACAGTTGTGAAATATAGGAAACTGACCCAAACAGTGAAGACTTCACTGAAATCTAGCAGTTTGTCCTTTTCTTTTTTAACATTAGTTTTTCTAGTAAGTCTGTTGGATGAAATGGCACTTAAAATATCTTTTGGTTTTGTTGTGGACTCTGTTTGCATGAACGCTTGTGATTGACAGTTTTGAAATCTCGGCTCAGTTGCCTCATGAGGCTGTGTCATAATTTTAGTAATCACCATGGTGATTTAACCACCCTTACCAAAGTGAAAAAGACATTGCCATCCCCTGTGATTTCTTGTGCTCTCAACACTGACAGGGTTAGGCAGGGGGATACAATCCCCAACTTAGAATCATCATGCAGATCTTGGCCCCTCAGGGAAGCTGTGGTGTTAGTGGTTATCATGCCTCCTGACATTCACTCCTATGAGCATCCTTGATCACTGCAAATTATAATGGCCATACACTACTA